ATTTATTTATTTATTAATATAGGAAATAAAATTTTTAATTAATTATCTAGAAAAAAATATAATCACTTCGAAATTATTATAACAATGAATTAGAGAAAAATATACAAACTGTAATAAAAATGCTTTTTTTATTGTAATTCAAATGTTAGTATAATTTCATGTAAAAAGTATTTTTTTTACATGTAATATTTATCTATAACTATATATATATATATATTAATATAGGAAATAAAATTTTAATTAATTATCTAGAAAAAAGAATCTTTAATAAATATTTTAAAAAAAAGGTAATAAATAAAAGAGCAATTTTCCTGAAAACATTTACCCAAAGTATAAAGATAATTAAGAAATTATGATATATATGATGTAAAAAAGGAGTGATGATATATAGACATCTTTGTAATCTTGGTGTTTTTTTTGCATTAGCACCTATTATTTATTTTTATCTCTCTTATCACATTAATGTATATATTAATTTGGGTTTAATTTATTTTTTTTCTAATTTTTTTTTTACCTTTACGTTTTATTCTTATTTTCATTTTATATTTTTTAGTTTAATAATTTATTTGTTTTCATGGTAATACTCATTCAATTGTAAGTATAATAAAAATATATTTTTATATAGTTATATATATTAAAAGAAAACTATCATATATCTCATAAATCTAATTTCAAAATTGTGCTTATCCATAAATAAGCACCATGAAAATAACAAAGTAAAAGAAGTGTAAGATAAATAAGTGTAATTTTTACTTAACAAATATTTATAATTAACATTTATAACAGTATTAACACTAACTGATATCCACTATTTTATAATTAAGTTAATTTTTGGTACATTATCTATTTACTATGTTTATGAATTATATAATTAGTAAATTATGATATTTAAAAAAATACACGAATTTTAAAATAAATATATATTCACTATGTTATATTTGTAACGACCCGGCTGACCACTACACTCACAACCACAGCACACCTGGAAACCGGAAACACTAGAGAGAATAGAACGAGTATATAAATATAGAATCTAGAATATAAATATATACATATGTCCCAATCCGACTAGAGTTAGGGTGTACAATACAAAAATACATCCAAAGCCACTATACTAAGTAGCTGAAACAAACAAAACATCAACAAGAGTCAGCTCCGCCTGCCAGCTACAGACTCACCACTAGTCACCACCTATCCCTGCTCTGCTCCCATACATAGTATGATCATCGCAGTCCAAACCACATGGAAAACAACAAAGGGTAAGCTAGTATAAAAAAACAGCATATATAGGAAGATTTAAGTAATATGAACAACTACAACTATCAACACTTCATCAACATACATCCCGTCAATTTTTACAGCATATTCATCAATAAGCATACAATGTGTCGTCACGCATATCAACTCGGAGATCTCCTACAACAACTCAGTCTTTCGGCCTACATCAACTCAGCCTTGCGGCCTACAACAACTCAGCCTTGTGACCTACAACAACTCATATCAACATACATCACAACACAACTTTACAGCTCAACATATCAGCTTACAACAATATACAACTGATGCAACTCAACATATCAACTTACAACAATATACAACTGATATAACTCAACATCAACAAGCAGCGTTAACCACAAGTCATCACATTATAATCAAAAACTTCTACTTAAACTCAACATAAACAACCTTTAACATCCATTAGTGAAATCATATCTTCGCGCCCGGCGCACTCGTGGTTGCGCCCAGCGCAGTGCAACCAAAGAGCACCCGGGGCCAGCGCGCCCAGCGCAAGCATGCCCGCGCCCGGCAGGACCCAGCCAAAGAGCCCAAGGCTCACTCGCGCTTGGTGCAATACCAATTGCGCCCAGCGCATGCCAAGCAGAGACTCCATGGAGTCTCACGCGCCGAGCGTGCCCAAACCCACGCCCAGCGTGGGGAAGGTAGAGACATACCAAGGTCTCGCGCCCAGCACAATTTAAATTGCGTCCAGCGCCCACAAGACAGAGACTCCCAAGGAGTCTCACGCCCAGCGCGACAAGGATCGCACTCAGCGCCACACCAGAAGTACAAAAACAAGTCACAACTGACATCGCGCCCAGCGCGGTTCAACCCTCGCCCGGCGTGGGCCATCCAGAGGCTAACATCTCCAAGCACGCCCGGCGCACACATCTTTGCGCCCGGCGACTTGCCTAAATGTTGTCCTCAGGTGGCCACGCGCCCGGTGCGAAGAACTGCACCCAGCGCGAGTTCAGCAACAAACCTCATACTTTCGAAAACTCTTCAAAAATCTGCAAAATAATCAGAAAATTTCACATGCAATCGGTTCAAATTACCACATTTTCATCTAAGATTCCAAAAATACTACCTTTTTACACATGCAACAACAAAATAAGAAAATCCCCAAATTTCTCTCATAACCCCAACAACCCCAAAAAACTCCATTTCAGCAATCTCAACCAGGAATCAACTATTATGAGCCACCAACTGAGTTCCTTGACTCATTTCAACCAAACATGACCAAACATGCATCAAGAAATCTAACTTCCCTTACCTCGGGCAAAAGATCCGGGCTTCGGGATAAGGAAGACGAAGAAGATGATTAGAGAAGGGCTTGAACGAAATGAGAAAGGAGGAAGTAGAGATTTGCAACACACCAGCTAACAATCAACTACTCAGCACAACCACCTTGTACAACCAATAAAAGGGAAAGAGTGAGAAAGAAATGGGAGAGAAAAAAAAATGAGTGAGTGAGGGCTGAAGTGGGAGAAAAAGAAGGGACTAGGGTCTCACAATATTATAAAATTATAACTATCACATTAAATAATGTGGTAATTATATTATATTATAAGTTATTGATCAATTAAGAAAAATAAATTATCGCATATTTACATAAATATAGAAAAAAACAATAATTAAAATAATGCATATTAAGAAAAACTAAAAACTATCATGTTTTAATAAATATGAACGAACGTCTATGTTATTTTTGAACAAATTTAAACATATGTACGTCATCTATATTTTTTAAATGGAAATAAAGACAAAGATGTTGTATATTAAAAGTATTATTTTATTTTTAATAAAATTGAAATTATATGTCAATTTTAGTTGAAACAACTTTTTTAATTAATACTTATCATAAATTTAATAATTTTAAATATAAATAAATGGAGGTGCGAGTATAAATATGTAAATAGTCAATAAAGAAAATCATAGAATTAAAGTCGTTACTCACATAAATATGTAAATATAAGACAAATATGATTTTTTTTTAAAGATGATTATAAGACGTGTACTATAATATCAGCATATTGCCCACTTAATACCCGTGGTCAACATCATTTTGTATAATATATATATCCTAAGAAATCCTCACATGAAGTGGTTTGTTTACAAGTTGTTCAATTAGATATATTTTAGAAGAAAAAAAATACTTCGAATATATATAATTTATCTTAAAGGAACGGAAACTCACATCAAGAGCAATATATATAGAAGAGTTCATGAATAATTAGTTGCTCAAGCACAGTCATTTTGTCATTCAAACGAGAATACATTCAAACGAGAATAACTACGTAACAAGAATTGGGGCGAAATATTAGTTTTCGTTAAACACCCTTAGAAATGCAACTTTGATAATTTTTAGCACACACTTATGGCATTATACTTTGTAAAATTTATATATTAATTACAATAAATCATTCATTACTTTTTGCACATCAATGCTCAGTTTATGTAACGTATTATAATACGATACAAAATATATGTAGAATTTTTTGTTCTAATTTTTCTTTCTCATTTATTGCATAAATGTGTTTTTTTACCATTAATTTAAGCATTAAGAAAATAAAAATATTTCTAGGATTGGGTGAGAGGCTTATGGGAGAAAAAAAATGTAAATGTAACTTAAAAATTCAAACAACAAACAATTGTCTAATTCTCATATGATTATTGTCCGTAACAACTCCCAATTTAGGGTTGATATATAGTAGATACAAGTAAAAAATATGAAAATAACAAAGTATAGTATCCAAGAAACAAAAATGCTCCAAGCATGATTTATAGATGTAGGTCTAGAGACCTTGATCAACGAGGTAATCTCCCAACCTCTCAACAACCATGTTGCATTGTCCAGGAGTCACAGGTTCATCATACAGACCAAAAACTAAAGCTTGACCAGTTTTCTTTATAGTGATGCCTCCAGACCCCTACAAAAAAAAAAGTAAAGAAGTTAATTCCCTTAAACTTTAAAAATAAGTGAAACTAAAGCATATAAGATTATACTCATCAAAATCAAGTATAAAAAACCTTTGGTTGATGTGTAGCACAGAAGAAAAAAAACATATTAAGTTTTATATACATGGAAGTTCAAATATCTATAAAATTTACAATCATTATAATGTTCTTAAAAACTTATTAAAAAAAATTACAAATTCTATAACAAGTGTAAGATGACATGACATGGTACCTTTTTTACTCGAATGACAGCTCCCGGCTCTCCTTGGATGACCATGTATTTGGTTCCCCCAAGGTGCAAACCTGTAGGTGCAAGATGACCTGGTTCATCGAAATCTTTCATTATATCAGAGATCTCTTGAGATTTTATCTACAGAAGAAGTTACATATTAGAACGTTATCACATGTTAAAAAAAAAAAAAGTAGTAATAATGTTATATATAACATGTCAGATTAAATGATAGGAGAAGGAAATAAAAGGTAGTTTTATAGTAGGTATAAAAGAAGAATAAAAAAGAATGGTACTAGTAGATCTATGCATTGATCTTGATATAGAATGAGAAAACCGAACAAATGAAACGTGATTAAGTACCTGAGGAAAAGGAGTGCTTTGAGCCCAAACGGAGCCATCATGGCCAATGATGGCAGCAGCAGTGAGGTGGTGTCCTGTGCCATCAATATCACACATCAAGTGTTCATCAACGTAAGTTTGCCACGACATTTTGTTTTGCGTTTCTTCTTGTGCTGCTTGTATTATATTGTGTTGTGTTTGTGTTTGTCAACTTCAAATTTAGTTTTAAATAAGGGTTGGATCATGGGTGAAGGGTGATGCTCGTTCCACCATCACTTTACCTCCATTCAATTCTTGCCACCCATTCACCGTCCCCTTCATTTTAGGACCCAACTTTCTCTATTTTCCTATTATTATTCCCTTTTATCCATAAATAGATTTAGAAATGGTTAATTCATCAATGCAATCAATTATTGTTATTATTTTTATATTATCTCTAATAAAAAAATCATTCAAAGCAAATCAATTTACACAAATAATTTAATGAAATAAGTATAAAAAAAATAATTATGTTATCACACAAAACAAATATAATGATATATGGATATAAATATATTACTTCAAATTAGATCCTTTAAAGTTTTTTTTTTGTAATGCACTCCTTAGTTGCGACATTTATTTGATTATGTTATGTTTGGATTCTTTACATCAAGTATTTTTTTATGAAAAATATTTATGACAAGTAAAGTATATATGTAAAAAAAATACTCAAATAATATTAAATGTTAAGTATTTTTAAATATTGTATTTTTTATGTTTTGATATATATATATATATATATATATTATATTTATTTATTTATATGAGCAGAGATCCTTTTACTCTAAGAGTAAGTCTACCTAGACTTACTCCGTTCAATAACTCATGTTCTACATCAGATTTCAATCATCCAACCGTTCAATTTAAAGTTCTTAATACATATATCAAATCTGTAAATTTTTAGAAAA